CATTTAGCAAGTGTCTAAAAATACCTTCTGATTTAACTTCTGATAACACTTTAGTATAGTTTTCAGTAATCTGTCAAGTTTTACGGAATACTTAGAAGAAACATTTAGACTACTTAGCCCAAAACATTATATAAAAAGGCAAACTTTAAAGATTCACAAGAAATTAACATATTTTAAAAACAGTTTTTATTGTATGTAGAAATTTCTTAATTACTAAACATTTTGATACTTAAAACACTTTCTTTAGCTCTCAAGACTTTAATTTTCTTGGATCATCTTATTTTGGTATCCAAGAAGTTTCTAATATAAGATAAATTTTTGAGATGTTAATAATTTTTCCTTGAGGCAGAAGAAGAAATTGGGGTATATAGAATTGTTTATGGCATCGCTTCACTATTTCTGCTGCTTTTCTTCAGGATGGCCAAGAAAGCACAAAAGAACAGTAATCCCTCTTCCCTCTTCCCCTAGGAAGTAAAGAAAATCATACCACGAGCTCTGTTTCCACAGCACAATTTGTTTTTATAAGTTCCCCTCCACCCCAAGTCAAATAGTTTTTAAAATTTTAAATAAGAACCCTGAGACTTAATTACTGCCATCCTCAAAGTTTTGATGGAATGATTACAATTAAATATTTATGCAACATATGTGTAAAACCACTAAGGGCATTAGGTTGTTGGTAATAGCAAAACTTTTTAGATTTTTAGATCAAATACTGGAAATATGCTGACTGGTGAATAATTTTTAAAAAGCATACAACTTATCCCACAAGGGAAGGATACATTCCTACCAGGAATTTGGTTTGAAGTGCAGGTAAAGCCCAATGATTTAAATCTTTATTCTAGCACACAAGATCCTTGAGCATCTGCCTCTGTCTCCCTAATATTTATCCAAATACAGAACTCTTGTTTTTGACATTCTGAACTATTTGGTATTACTTCTCTAAAAATTGGTTTGTGTCATGCTTCTGCACCTGCCTTTCAAGTTTATTCTGTGACTCTTAACCAGGATGTTTTAAAATACTTTTTGAAAGAAATTTGACATCAGGCCTATTCTCTATATTACATGACATTCTTTAAACATTCATTTCATATTTAACTTTAATTTTAAAATCAGTTTATATGGTAAATGTTCTTTCACAAATAGTATTGCTTACTAAAGTGCATTTAAATCACTAGATAATTTCTTTAAATTGAATCAAGTTTGTATAAAGTAGCTATTTGAAAATAAAAATGAACTCTGATGATATCCAGAAACAAGAACAAGAAGCAATTTTGGTCTTTGGAAATATTTATTACATTACCTTTATGATTCTGACATGAAGTTTAACAAAATCTAGTTCTTGCAGTTGTGGACAGTTTAGAGGAAAAACTGTCATTGATCTTGAGAGTTTATATATTTTGTGTGTCTTGACAATTATGTATATTACTATTTAAATATATTCTGTCTCCTTATAATAAAAGCATAGAATCCATATTATGAAAGTGCATTCTGAATTTCTGTAAGATTTCTGTAAGATTTCCAACTATTTAATTTTGGCATGATTTTTAGTTTGTGTAGTTCTAGGTTTTAAATTTTGGAGTAAAAAGCAAAAACCAAATTTTATGCAAAAAAGAATCATGTTAAAAAAATTCATAATTTCCCTTGAAGCCTACTTATAATGTAATTTTATCTTATAGGTATGCCATTTTCATTGTTAATTATGTTACTAGTCATTACTTTCAACAACAAAAATATTCTTTTTTGTTTGTTTGTTTTTCTTCCGGTACCAGGAATCTAACTCACTACCTTGCGCTTGCCAAGCAGGTGCTTTTCCACTGAGCTAAATCCCCAGCCCCCAACAAAAACATTCTAAATTGTCTTACAATTACCTAAAGATACATAGTTTTACATGATAGGTAACTATTGATCAATATGTTTTGGCACATAACATAGCTTTTAAGTACAGATACTTTTCAGTTCAAAATTATTTCTGTGCGGCAGTAGCTTAAAATGTTCTTTTCTACCTTGCATACTATGAAATGATCCAGAATTATTAGAGAGGTATTACAATAAACCAATTGCAGTTAGGAGGAAAAAATAATTGTTAATGAACCAAAAGTAGAAAAAGGAGCTTGGACAAGTATTATTTTCAGTATTGTCTCCTTTAATACCACTTTTCTGTTTATTCTTGAATGTCTGTATTTGTGTGTGTGTGTGTGTATGTGTGTATGTGTGTGTATACATTATAGTGCATGTGGGTATTTGCAAGTAATCGATCTTTATTTTACAACATAATTTCATTGTGTGTACATTGCTAAGTGTCTGGTTGTCCCTGACAGGATTGTTTGGAAAATCCGTGATAATATGTGGTATTTTACCAAGTGATTAATTTATTTTGGCTCAAATCACAAGTTTAGTAACACAAAGTAGTTACTCATGCTCAAAAATGCATGATCAGTAAATAGTTTTGAGATTTATCTCTTCTTAGATTTGAACAATTCCACTCATTTAATAAAATGGATGGATTATTTTCAATAAACACAAAAACGAAACCTTTTAAGAAGTCTTATAGACTTAATCTTTTTAGAGCAAATTAAGTCCTTTAAAAGGGTGCCTTAGTTTGTTCTACTTGCCAGTAATGTACTATTATCAATTTATCATTTTGCTTTTACTTTGTTTTGTAAAAGATACTTACTCCATCAACTTAGATCACTTTAATTTGATTTATACTGCTGTGTTGAAAATGTGCACAAATCGTCTTATGTGTATTTGCAATTGCCAGTTTTTTAACATTCACCATGTATTGCACACAACACAAACACCAGTATTGTAAGTTACCAGCTCTGATCTCAAGATAGAATTAAATGAATAGCTTCTATCTGGTATAATTACTTAACTTTAAAACCTGGTCAAAGTGTGTCACCTTGCAGCATACATCAGAGAGCAGCATTCATTCAGTTTGAAATTTATTTCTGGCCCAACGTGTACCACAGCAGTAGAGTGTAAAGTCTGGAGTTCAGTCCCCATCTCCCAACAACAAAACAAAACGCAGTAAACACTATGTGCCATGCACTTTTACCAGATATTGAGGTGAGAACCTGAGAAGGACAGTGATTATTCCTCGGGCCACTCATAAATAGACAAAGATGGAAAAGATCATGGGGAAAGTAGACTTTTACTGCTTAGCCTTTATTCTGTCTGTACAGTTACAGGCACTTCATATCATTTTCTTTACTTAATACAAAGTTCCATATGATATTCATTATTATTCTCATTTTATAGAAGGGGAAATGGAGTCTCAAATGTAAAAGGTTGCCCAAGGTCTTAAATCCAATAAGTGACAGCCTTGTGGTGCAGGCATTTCACGCTCCACACCCCACGTGTGTTTGTACTGCTGGGAACTGCAGCACGTCGTGCAGGCTGAGGTTATAAAAATGAGGCATCTATGGTCTCTCTTTTCAGAATTCGGAGTTCTGTGAGTGCAGTTCAGGCTCAAAACGGGCAGACTATCATTTTAGGCTGTTTTTATTTAAACCTGTATTAACACGTTTTGTGTCAAAAGCAGTCTGTGATAAAATAAGAAGATGGTTAAAATGCATTTTGAACAGGAACTCATCTGTTCATTTGACATTACTTTTTGATTTTAGTCTGCAAGAAGGTTTTGTCTGAAAATTTAAGTGGTTAAATTGGTTATAACTGGTATAACTTGCTGTTGTTAATTATCTTAAATTGCTCCCTGAGGAAAACTATCTCTCTGTCCAAGCCATCTCAATTAGTTTTGTTCATCAGTCAAGTAGAAAACTAGTGAAGTCTCTTGAGTTTGTTTAAAGTGAAGCTATTTTATTTTAATTCAATTAAAATTTTAATTTCTGTGATAAAATGAGGGTTAATTAATTTCCGAATGAATATGATTATCTTGTGTTAATCCTCAAATCTTTAAGTCTCCCCTTCAAAAAGTGTCTAAACCTTCTCTGTGTTAACTACTACTTCTTATGCGAGAAAACCTCAGACATTCCTCTTCATTATCAACACATCAAATTCTAGATGTTGCGTATCAACAAAATAAAAAGAAGCAAAATACCAGTAATACATACATATTTGATGTACATTATTGAATTTTCACCTTGAGTTGGTCATATAAATATACCTGGGGGCATTTTTCATATGCCGTATAGATGCTACAGGGCTGTGATAGCCCATGCGTGTAGGAAGGGGTAGAATAGGTGGTGGGAGGGCCTCCTCAAGGTCACTACATTTGGTGTGTAAGAGTAACTTTTCCTTGTCACGCGAATCTCTTCTGTAAGAGCCCTGAACAGTAGTATTTAAAAGAACTTCATGCATGTCAAGGCAATGTGTTTACCTCAACTATATTTAAAGAAATCCTAATCAGTAAGCACATATGCCAGAAATTATGAAAGTTGTGTTTATTTTATTATTAAATGATTAAAATTATCTAGTTCACTATTTTGCTTTAAGGCATCATAGTTTAGAGAAAGATTGGCCTTTTTCATTGAAATTAATATTAATCTTGAGAAATAATGTCTAACACTTTTGGGTACTTACTGTGTCAGAGACTGTACTAAGCTCGTAATCTAAATTAATCTCATTTCACACCGGCAGCAGCTCCGTGAGGCAGGTACTGGGCTAGCTGAGGTGGGGTGAAGGAGGGTCCAGACTCCCAAATAAGCAGCCTGGGAAGTTGGCATTGCTTTTGTGCAGGCCCTTCTGAAGACATGTGTACCAGACGGCCTACCTGCAGCCCGTGACCTTGCCCGCTGCACTTCGCCGTTTCTTTTAAAGAGATAGAGTCTGTGCTGGACCTTTGTAATTTAACTAATTCGCATTTGTTTACTGAACACCTGCTCTTTGCTTTGTTTGAGAAATTTCTTATGTATTTTTGTAAACCTCAGATATATGCATAATTATATAGGAACCTCATGCCAATATTTTTAATATGGGTAAAAGTTTAATATTATGAAACAAATGAAAAAATTAACATATTTGATATTTACAAATTTCAGTTTATTGATGGTCGACTAGCAAAACTAAATGCTGGAAGGGGTTTTTCTGATATATTTGAAGAAGAGATCACATCAGGTGGCTTTTGTGGAGGTATGGAATACTTAGAGTATGATTATCCATCTTTTTTTTATTATCCATCTTTTAAATAACATTGTCTTGACCTTTCAATTTGTGTCCGATGTAATCTATTTCATATACAACAATTTTCTACTAAGTATCTAATTTCTTAAATACATTTTTTTCATCTTATAAGAGCTATGGTATCAACTTATGGTATCAACTATTATTCTAAACATTGAGATTGTCTTGTAAATTGGTAGCTGTTGGCTTAGATGATCTCTTAATATTATGGAAAATAAGGGCTGGGGATGTAGCTCAGTGGCACAAGCTCCTGCCTGGCAAGCACAAGGTCCTGAGTTTGATTCTTGGTACCTCTCCCAAAATTATTGAAAATAACACGGAAATCCAATCAGTATATATCTTTTATGCTTTCTCCCTGAAGAGTAGTAGTCTGCTGAACAGTGACTAATGATAATAGCCATAAGAGAGTATGAATTTGAAACTGAGATTATGGTTGAAATAGTACATTGTAATGTAATCCAAAAAGTATTTGAACACTACTACTGCAGCTTTTGGAAAGTTTTAAAATTACATAAATGTAATTAATTCCACAAATATAATTAATGCTTCAAACAGTTCAGGGTTATAATCATCTAGGCAATTAATGATCTACAAATCAATATTTTGTATACTATTATGCTTGTATATAACCTGGACTTGCAGAGAATTTTGCTTGAATCTTTGCAGTGTTCTGTCCATTCATTTAAGCAGTATTGCTGCATCCTTAGTATGTACTCTTCTAGATACTAGGTGAACTAAAGAAATAAAAATCCCTTTGTCATGTTAGTTTTTGAGCTGATATAAGAGTATTTTTTGACCTTTGCCAGATGTTCTGGTGGATGCCTGTAATCCCAGCACTTGAGAGGCTGAGGCAGGATGATCACTGCAACTTTGAGCTCCTTCTTGGGCTATATGAGACCCTGCCTCAAAAGGAAAGAAAGAAAGAAAGAAAAATAGAGAGAGAGAGAGAGAGAGAGAGAGAGGGAGGGAGGGAGGGAGGGAGGGAGGAACAGAGAGGGAGGAAAGGAAGGAAGGAAGGAAGGAAGGAAGGAAGGAAGGAAGGAAGGAAGGAAAGGAAGGAGAAAAGAGAGAGAAAGGTTTTCATCTATACATGTATAAATAGTCCCTAGTACTCAGATTAAAATATGAGAAGACAAGAAGAAATCAGTAGTCATCTACAAATTTCACAAATTTAATTTTATTCTTAAATAAGAATTATTTTCACGCCATAAAAATATAGAAAATATATAGACATTGTTTGTTCATTAAAATAAATACAAATGAATTTAGCAGTTGTAGACTTTCATCTGATATAAGTACATTTTGTTGAAAGCATTTAGCTTAAGGAAAAAGTTTACTTGACTCAGCAACTAAGCTGAATGTTGAATCATTTAGTTCCTTGCTTTCCTCAGCTCATAAATAAAAATTCAGCTTCAAATGGAACTTTTGTGTTAGAATGACGCATTTTTACTTTTCAACTCAGACAAGCAAAATATTGTCAGCTTATGGACAAATTGCTTGAGGCATCTATTCAGTATTTACATAACTGCTGTCTCATTATCTTTATGACCCGTGGGGCTAGTAGCTTCTATAGAATTGAAGATGACATCTTGTGACAGTAATGGGGTAGAACTACATTCCTTTTGTACAGTTAAATTCCATAGTCTTAACCATCAGGCTAGATGCCTGTGTAGTACAGGGAGATGGCCTCTGTGTGTGTGTGTGTGTGTGTGTGTGTGTGTGTGTGTGTGTGTGGTAGAAGAGGGTAACAGAATTTTTACTAAAGGTCTTATTGTTTAAAAAAAGAATAGGGGAATAGTCATCTGATTTAGACACTGCTGTATTTGAGTACAACTTAATGACAATTGCTCTTTGCTCTGTATTACAATGAAAAAGGCTTTAAACTCATTTTAATTTGAAATAATAAATACTTCTCCAAAAAGAAAGCTTATTTCAACCATCACTGATTTCCATGTACAAGAACCTACCTTAAAAATTATGCCTGTCAAATGTTATTTTTAGTTGTATTTTACATATGTATAGAAGAAAATAAAGTGTATTTTTAGGATTTAAAATATGAAAAATAAATAATCTAATAAAAATTAATAATTTTTCTAACTACTAATTAGGGAATATCTGTCTATGTAGAATATGTGTTTGTGTGTGTGTCTGTGTCTGTGTCTGTATGTGTATTTCCAAAAGTAGTGTCTAGAGGCTACTCCAAACTTGTCGGAAAGACTATACTTATGAGGAAGAACATATCTGTGTTGTGATGTTCACCTGTTCTTCCGAGAAGAAAAGATTTAACTTCGTTGATTCTTATATAGTAATTTTAGCATCATTTATTGAGCATTAACATGTGACAGAAACTCACATAAAAGATTTACGAATATCTCATTTAAACTTTGTAACAGTTTAGGAGACTCCTTGACCATCCCAGTTTGGGGTAGAGCTCTCAACTCATCAATTTATTTAAGGTCACACAGCAAGTAGAGGCCAGAACCTGAACTCAGCATGTATCTACCTGCTGCGAAGCTCTTGCTTGGGCAGCTGTAATATGTTGATTTTTAAATGTTAGGATCGTAATGAGAAAACATCTATAAATAGTTTTACTCACACCATCCCTAATATGATTGAGTACAAGCAAAACTCTTGTCTCTTCTATCTTTTAAATATTTCTCTTATGCATGAAGCTCAGGAAAGATTACTATTAAATAAACCAGCAATAACTAAAACTGAAGGGAAAATTGTATTGTGTTAAGTAGAAATAATTGGAAAATTTTATAGAAAATCTATTTTTTCTACTTTTATACATCAATGCAGTAGTAGTTGGTACACTGTTTTTGCCAGTGTGCATAGTTGTGATAAAATTAGTATAAGTATGGTAATAATACTTTATAATTATGTTTCTAATTAAAAATTCAAGACAATCAGATACAGAACATCTTAAATTTCATTTGAATCTAGAGCCATAAAAATCTGACTGTATGGAGACTTTCCAAAATTTTTTTCTGTCTCAAGGGGACTATTCAGGAAATACATGATTTCCTCACACATGGTGCCTTTCATAAGACTCTTGCAGAATACTCAACCTTAGCGTAAAAGGAAAATAGTAAAAACATAAGGAAATGTGTAAAAGAATACCCATGGAGATGAAAAGGTGATAAAAGAGAACCTGAGTGGAAAAGACTCAGTGAGGTAACTGCTAACCTATGAAAAAGCCACCGAGGAACACTGACTTGTTTAAGAACATGATTCTTCAAATATATGTATTTGTTTCAGTTAAAGTAGAACTGGTTTTTAAACCCAGATCAAATTGTGTGAAATTTAGAAAGGAGAAACATTTTCAGATTGCTTTTGTATGAGTACGTGAGTATACATTAATAACATGTTTCACTAGCATGTAAATGGGTCAGTCTTTTATTTGTGTTTCATTTTACTAAGTAAATTATTCAAGGATTTGAAAAAATGGTAGGCATTTCTCAGTTTTAGTAGCATTTCTCTGGCCACATTGAATAGTGTAGACCACTTTATATCTTTTGATAAATAATTACAAATTGCTGGACTTTCAAATACATTTAGAGAAAAAGTCTTGGCACAAATGAAAACTCAAGATATTTTGTCCTTGTGTGTGACAAAAATCAGTTGTTTCATTAACAAGAATATTGTGAAGAATATCCTTACTGTGCTTATGAATTTTCATAAGATAGTTAACTTAAAAGAAAGACTGAGGTATTATTTTTACATTCAAATGAATATTTAAGAAAAAAGTGGCCTCATTTTTTTTGTATTACCAAAGGATTATGTGCTAGTCTCAGAAATTTTGTGGAGATGGAAACCTTAAATCATAGAAACACTGTGAGTTAGAGACAGCCCTTAAAATTTCAAAAATAGGAATCTATTTTTAGAATATGTTGTACCACATTTCCCTATCATCTTATGCAGTGTGTTTATTCCTAGGGACTTTCTCTTTGCCCTCATACTTTGTAGTTCTAGATTATCACTATCACTTCTTACGATTACCTTTCTTTTCAAGGTGCTAGCATGGACCATCCTCTCCTTTGCAAGGTGATTGCTTTGAAAGTGGTACAGAGAAAGCCTCTATGTAACTTAAGTTTATTATATTTTATTAAGTAGTCTTAGAGGTAGAATTTCAGAGTTGAAAGAATAATGACCCATGAATTAAAACACCTAGATTCCTATTCTTTCTCACTTGCTAGCTTTGCAAAGCAAATAGTACATCATCTCAGAGCTCCATCCCTTTATCTGGCAACCTACTTATAATAATTAACATTTATGGTATTCCCAGGATGTGTTAGGGACCATACTAGACATTGCATAAATCATTATCTTTCATTCTGGCAATAATTCTAAATGGCAGTAACTGAATGAAGAAGCTGAGGCTCAGCCAGGTGAAGTACCTGGTCCCAAATCACATCATTCACAGATTGGGCGTGAACTCCAAAGGTCCCTTACACTCCAAAGACCTCTTCCTTATTGAACTGTGCTGCCTGTGGCACTACCTGCTTTGCCTATTTTATAGTTCAGAAATAGAATTTAAATAATGTAATGTAGGTAAACACATTTCATGACCCGTGAAGAGCTGAATATTAACATTTTTATATGTCAGTTCTGTAAGACCCTACCCTTTTTATAACTCCTCTGAGTTTCTTTCATACACATTTTCTTTGTGGTTCAGGGGTTTAAATTTTTTGGGGGGTTGACATGTATTCCAGAATACTAAATTGTTATCATATTGTTGGAATTTCTGCTTTCTTAAAATCATTTTGGAAAAATAATTAAAACCCTCTACAGAATAACTGTAACATCTAAGTCTTAAATGTGTGATTTCTAATCAACCATTTTTAATAAAGAAGTAAAAAAATGAATAGGTGAGAACTTTGAATAAAGAAGTGAAGTAAAGTAGGTGTTCTGGATGAAGATGATATACAGTTTATTTTTTGTTAAAATCTGAGAAATAAATTGATGGGATAACTTCAGTCTGTCCTTATTTTACAAAGGAAATAAGTATACTTTCAAAAATTTGGTCAATCCAGTACCACCTGGAGCTCTCATGACTTCTAAGCAATCAACTTACTTTAACATATGTTATTTTAGGTAAATACATTTTGATATAATAAACTATTGAAGAAAAATTATTATTTTCATCTGGACCTTTATTCAAAAAAGGTACAATGCCACGCTGAGTAGTAAAAATTGTTCCACATTTCCCTGTTATCTTATGTAGTGTATTTAGTCCTAGGGAATTCCCCTTTGCCCTCATATTTTATAGTTCTAGATTATTACTGTCAATTCTTATTATTACCTTTCTTTTCAAAGTGCTAGCTTGGAGCAACCTCTTCTTTGTAAAGTGATTGCTTTGAAAATGGTACAGAGAAAACTTCTTATGTAACTTAATTTTTATTATATTTTATTAAGTAGTCTTAGAGGTAGTATTTCAGAGTTGAAGGAATAATCACCCAGATTTATAGTCTTTGTATTGTTTATCAGAAAGTTGTTTGTTGATATTTTTTTTAATTTAGAGACAGATGTTAAGTATAAACATGAACCCAGAGCTGGGCAACAGTTGCAAAGAAATTCATAGGATGGAATCACCCTGCCTCTATTTTGTAACAACAGACTGATACATTTTTAAAAAAAATTATTCTTTATGCACTTGAAATATTTTAAATGAACCTAACTGTCTAAAAGAGGAAAGCCTTTACAAAATAACATAGGCATAAAATATAGAAAAATCAGTTTTGAAAGCATAAGAATTTTAGATTTCAAAAGAGATTACATTTTCCCCTGAGGAACTAATATTAAAATGAAAGAATATAGGGCATTATTTTAGCTTGATACGTCAATAAAGAAAGCATTATTGTCAAATGCTAATTACTATGTTCCTGAGAATTGATTTATTAATTCTTACAAATGCTGTTACTTTGTTTACAACGTTGGAATTAAAACTTGCCTACTAAAATGCTGAAAATATGATTTCTTAAGATGATGATTTATGGACTTATTTTTGATCAAATGTTCCTGGAAACTTTTATATATTCCAGGGAATCCAAGGTCATATCAACAGTGGATGCATACAGTTAAGGTAACATTAAATCTTTGATGTCTCTCCTTTCACAGTAGTAATTATGGAGAAATATTCAATAAAGTATGTTATTTATAATTATGATGTTTATTTTTAATATTTGAAATGGGTGTATATATTTTCATACTTTGAATACATATATGTCATATTTAGTTTGTTGATAATCATAAAGATAACTTTAATTGAACCTTTTTGTTTAGACATAAGTAGCTTGTTTTGAGAAGCAAGGGTTCTCTGTCACTTTATGTTGTATTACAGAACAAAGAACTAGATAGAATAATAGGATTTGATGGAAATTTTATAATTTCTAATAACACAGTTTTGTTAATATGATTTTTATATTAAAACGTTTCTTCCATAGATTGACTTTACTACCCAACTTTGAAATAGCTAATAAACCTTGTATTTCTTTTTATTGTGCTTTAAATATATATGTGCTGTATTACAATCCATATTCATCTGCCTAAACTTAAAAGATGAAATGATTTTAAATGATGTGTTATTCCAACTAAAAGAAAAAATGAAATGTTCATATTTTTAAAATTATTATAGGAAACTTTAAAAACATTAAACATGAAGTAATTTTTATAACTCCATTTAACTTCAGAGTAAGGTTCTTATTCTGTGTGTTGGTTCTTAATAGTGCTTTGTTTTCAGGACAGTTTGTCAAAACTTTTTGAAAATATATTTGTTTTTTCTTTTGTAGAAAGGAGGTGCACTATTCAACACAGCAGTGACCAAAGCAACTCCTGCTGTTCGGACAGCATATAAATTTGTAAGTTTTACCTAGATATAACATTCTATTGATAAAGCTATGCATTGCTCTAGAATATAGACATGTAAATTAAAAATACCTTCTATTTTTAAAAATGTTTAGCGTTAATATTAACCAACCCAAATTCATTTGTTAAAATGAATTGTATAGCAAGAGTACTTCCTTTATATAATCTAAGAATGTTTCTTCAGTTTATTTCAAAGCTCCAAAAAAATTATACATCAAATGAAACAGTCCATGATCCAGGTACCCTTTTGTAAATTTGATTCTTTCATAAAATGATATATTTTAAATTTTCATTGTGTACTTGAGGCTGAAGTGGAAAAAATAAACAGATATGGCAATATTTCTTCCCTCAAAGATATATTGACTCTCCATAATTAAAAAATTTTAGTGATTTGCCATAGTTTGTATTACGTTAATAACAACATTAAATAAACAGTAAAATAAAAATCTTTCATATGACAGCTAAGACCCTTCAAGGTCTGTTCCTTCCTCTGTCCTGTTCCATTTCACCCTGTTCCCTGCAGCTTACATATCTGTAAAGATACCTAGTATTCCTTGTTTCTCTAATGCAGGATGCCCCCTTCTGTCCTCTTATTTTTGCTCAGGTTGTTCCTAGCACTTAGAACACCCAGTTCTTGCTCATTATCCACCTAGAGAACACCAGCTTATCCTATGAGATAGTTCAAACATGGTTTCCTCTTCAAACAACTTTCCCAGCCCTACTAAGAAAAAGAATTTATACAGCTATTTCTATGTTCCCATAGGAACTACAAGAACTTGTTTCAGCACTTGCTTTGCTTGTGTATGTTTTTATCTTTAGTACTAGACTAGTAGCTCCTTGTGGGAGAAGCCTTGGGATGGTATTTATTAAAAAGAAATTTCATTCAATGGGTTATATACAGTCTATGTTTATAAAAATATTTAGGCCAGTACCAGTGATTTGATGAGAATTTGTTCCTAAATACTTTTAGCAAGTAAGTTGATGTGACTCAATGAAATATTTTAATATTTAGAATTTTTGTTCTTTCCTTGACTTACAACTATGATATACATGCAATTACTCCTTTTGCTTAAAAAATGTATTTCAAAGATTGCATTTTTCATAGCGAAGATAATCTATAAAGTTAATTAAAAATATAATGCCAACATTCTGAATTGTTTGAAGCCTTATCAAGCAAAAACAAATGATTATTTTGCCTTAGAAACATGAGCGTTTCCTGTTTGTTTGGTTTTCCTATGACTTTGCTAAAAATCTCTGAGTACATAGCTATCTATCTCTAGAGGGTAAGTTTAAGTAAAAGCTTTGGAGAGGTATTTTTTTCCACAGTGAAATAGCACACAGCTACCAAGTGAAAAACTATGGCTTTTATGGGTAATGTTGAATCTTGTTTCTCACACACACAAAAATTAAGTTCCTAAAAAGGCATAGCAGTCAGTAGGTTCTCATTTTTATTCCTGAAGCAAGGACTTGAAGGATTTTTTTGAGATTAGAGAAGTTGTATTGTTTTGCAGAATGTGTGTTTCCTCCCTTAATTTTACTCAAATTTTTCATAAAAATACAATAATAAAGCACGCTTGTTTAAAGCTTCATTCATCGTTTACAATTTTTATCCCTGTAATCAGAAGACTGTTCTGTTTTGAAACTTTCTTTGCAAGGCAATAAAATCTTTCCAAATTAAAAATTTTGACATGTTGAAGTATTATTCCTTCATTTTATTTCAGACAAATTAAGATCTGAATTCCTTGTATCATTTCTCTTGTTATCATGTCAGACTTGAGTCAGGGGTTAAGGCAGGCAGCAGTCATTTTGTGACCTTTATAGTTGTACCTAAAACTTATCTGTCCAGACTGCGCATATTCCTTCTTTGACCACAAATTGCAATGAATAAACCTTCCAGTTTCTATTATGTGAGTATAACAGAGTATATGTACCTGGATTTTCTGTAAATGGTAAATTTTTCAAAAGTGAAGGCCATATATTTTCCTCTATTTCATTTATTTAACAAATTTTGTATCTGTCGTAAATTAAGCCTTTTGCTCATATCAGAGTTAGAGTATTTAATGTAAGTAAGAAAGATACTGCCCCAGCATTTATATTTGTATCCCCATTGCTTTGCTGTATGCTTTGAACATACTACAGAAATACTAAGTACTGGTTGAAGGAAATTATGATTTTGTTCTGTACTTATCATTTTTAAATACTTATTTGTATGCCTAGAAATTATTTTCTATGCTTTCTATGCTTATGGTTTTTATGGTTACCAGGTCCATAAAAAAAAATCAAGAGGTGCAAACATGCTCTTATGAATCTAAGAATCACAGCAAAGCAAAATGTACGTTTGATTGCCTAAGAGATTTTCCTAAGTCATCTTTTTGTTAAGCCTTTGGTCAAAGCCATTTGCTTGATACATTTCTATAGAGAATACTTGTCATACAGTGTTACATTTCAGCTTGGTAAAATGAAAAGGATGGAAAGAACCTGTGTTCCATCTTCCAGGTATTATGAAAGAGACCCAAGAAAGAGGTAGGGCAATAGGCATTTAAATTAATTAGTACACACACTATAAAACCAAAGTCAAGCCTAACACTAGATTTAGTTCTATTCACCAGACATCTGAAAACACTAGTTGATCAAATGGATGAGAAGATATTTGGGTAAACCAGAGTATACTCCAAATGTGAACAAAGCATGCATGGGTACAAGTTTTAGGATATGAGAACAGAAGCGTTTTTCTTCTAATTATGTATTTCCTACCTAATGGAAGTATAGGCATTAACATAAGACTTTCAGTGGCTTTTCAAATAAAATAATGAATGTGACAGTGTTTTATTTATAAAATTCTGAGAAGCCATAAGATGGAATGTAATGTTGTTTCTTTAGATTATCTTTTAGTAAGTGTGATATTTTAGATTTGCTTAAGTTACAATAAAGAAATATTTTTTCATTCAGTTCAAGACAGCCCTTGAGCAGCTACTGTATGCAGTATTACTGGGTACTACAGATATGAATAGAAAAGAAATACAGACCTTGAAAAAGCCATGTATTTACTCTTCCTAGAAGCATCTTGGTAAAGCAGGATGGCTTAGTCTGAGCAAGAGTTTTAGAGTTTGCTTGTCATCAGTTTCTGTCTGTAGAATGAAGCTCACACTGCCTTCTTTCTGGTGAGGCCTAAATTCAGTGGATGAGTTTTTACAAGTTTTTTCCTCCTTCCTCTTTGAGAAGGGAAAGCATTAGACTTTAAAGTTAGATTTAGTTTTGAATCTGAGCTATATGGATTTATTCCTGAGCCACATTGCTTATTTGTAAAAATATGAGAATAATAGAGCTGTTGTGAAGACTAAATGAGGTAATGCCTGCTAAGCGCCCGGCACACAGTTTTATATTTAGGAAACACAAAATAAATGTGAATTCCTTTTTTTTCTTTCTACTCTGGCCACTGCGAGTGCAAATTTCAAGTGGCACAAAGGCTGAGGCTTGCATGACGCTCCAGTTGTCTGTTATACTTCACAGGATTTGCAGCAGGATCCGAGCCACTCATACTGGTGCCACATTCCAGCGAAACATGACGACGGCATTTAGATTGTTAAATGACTCTTAATTTGTCCCAGAAAATCTGTTTACGAAATCGCCGTACCAAAATGGCTTTGCTAATAAAAATCTGTGTGGGCCTGTAAAGCACTTCACTAAAGCTTTGCGTATTTGCCTGAGTTTCTTCAAAGTGAAATATTTGCCCAATTTGGTGCTGTGGTGTGATTTCTCTTAGCCCTAATTTGTTATAATTTCAAGAGTGGCTATTAGCAGTCTGGTTGATTCTGCTTGTGTTCTTTATATTTTAGGGGCCAAACAGGTTAAGCATTAGCCTTAATATATTCCTGTGTAAACGGAGGCTAATAATATTTGTAACCAATTTATCTAGGTATAAGAAAAAATAAATGGGTGATATTCCTGAAATAGTTTTAAATTATAATCTGCTTCTTTGCTAAATAATATGAATAGGTAGCAATTTCCATTGAATATAGTTTTATATACTTATTTTATGAGTGGTAACAGAACCATTCTAAGCCAAGAACATTTATTACTGTTTTCCAGGCAAAAAATCATGCAAAGCTGGGATTAAAGGAGGTGAAGAGTAAGCTAAAACACAAGGTACATCATATTCTGTTTATTCTGCCTGGCTTCTTATATTAGCTTGAAACTTATTCTTTATAGACCACATGAGATTTATTTTTTAGTGACTTTTGAAATATGCTTATCCCTTTGTTCAAGAATGTATTTTCCATAACAAGCCCTCTGGCAACTCTCTACATTCTATGTGCATCCCCTGAATAGTCTCTTTATTGTTTGCATATTTTATCATAGAACTGTAGAGATCTTTAAAGATACTTTAACAGGATGTATGTTTTCATAAAGTTGATTGCCTCGATATGACAATTGAAGTTCTTGCTTCAAGCTGAGGTTGTTTTTTTTTAAAAAAGAGATCACTGGTATAGAATGCCATCATTTGGCTTTATAGGCTTTTCCCAACAGTTTAAATTGAAGAATTCTCTTCACATGTAAAAGATTTTATATGATTTATATTTTAATCTATGACTATTACAAATATATGATTTTTTCAAATATAAGAACTATGTATATATTTTGTTTCATTATACCTTATATCTTTGCAGATTTTATTATTGGTTATGTTTTGAATTTTATTTTGGAAATTATTGACTCATAGTATAGAAAAATGCAGTTTGTCCCTAAATATATTCTTTTTTTTTTTTTTTTGGTTTTTTCTCCAGTACCAGGAACCGAACTCACGACCTTGCGCTTGCCAGGCAGGCGCTTTGCCGCTGAGCTAAATCCCCAGCCCCCTAAATATATTCTTAAACTTATAAGATCTAAGGTTCTATGCATGTATATCCGATGCTTTCTGTTCATCAAATAGGTATAGAAATAGAAGGAATATTCTAAAATAATCATTTGTAATCTTTTTATACGTAGGAAAGTGAAGATTACGGGGCCTGTTCTGGTGCGGTACAGTGTGCACCAGCTTACACATCACACAGTGAAAAGCGTAAACTTTCCCGGGTAAGAATATCTACCCTTTCTGCCTCCACATTCTGAAATTATTTAATTTAGCCGAATACTTCAGGAACAATTTGGGGCCCATTAGTTGTTTCTCTTATGATAAGAAAACCTGCTGTACTGGTCAAACAGAAGAGTAGCTGGACTCCAGCCAGCGATCGACACCATGTGTTCCAGACACCAACCTCTGCCTTTAGCTGAGCATCCCAGATGAGAAAAACCAAATCCCAAACTTTTTGATGCCACAAATTGTACAGTTAACTTTGTGTGACTGGTTGCAGTCAAACACGGACACACTATAGCATTTATAAAAATGTCAAATAAAATCACCTTCAGGCTATTTTTATAAGGTATATATGAAACATGAATGAATTTTACTTTTAGACTTGGGTCTCGTCTGCACTATATGTCATTTTATAGGTATGTAAATCTTCTAAAGTCCAAAATCTGAAATATTCCTGTTCCCACGCTTTTCAGATAAGGAGTATTCAGCCTTTATTTTATCATGGAGCTTATAATCCACTGAAGAAGACAAGCAGTTAACTAGGTAGTTGCCATAGAAAGTGAATAGTTTGGTGATAAATGGGAAACCATAGATTTCCTTAAGTCCAGAAATAAAACGAGGGGCTGGGGATTTAGCTCAGCGGCACAGCACCTGCCTGGCAAGCGGAAAGGTCGTGAGTTCGATTCCCGGTACTGGAAAAACAACAACAACAACAAAAAAAAAAAACAGAAATAAAATGAAATTCATACTTAGACATTTGATCATCAAAACACTTTATAGAAATTAGTGAACTACCATACCCTCATAAATCCATTGTAAACATTTCCAGCTAAAAATATCATAACTGAAGATACATTTAGTACACCTAACTTATTTAACATCAAAGCTTAGCCACACAGTGTCCCATGGAACTGTTCACCCTCATGATTGCGTGACTTGACTGGTTGCTGCGGATTACTGCCTGTCCCACTAGCAAGAAAGAATATTACATCACACGTATCACTGGCATGGGAAAATTCAAAGTTGAACTATGGTTTCCACTGAAAGATTATGGCTTTCTCACCATCTTAAAAAAAACAGTTAAGCAGAATCACCATAAGTTGGGCACTGTCTATATATGTATCTTATTCTAAAGTTAGATATTTTCTTTGCATTGAATATATAAAACTTATGCATATATGCTAATACTACTTAAAATTTTGTCCCAACTGGCAGAGTGTTCAGAATCATAGCAAGGTATATCTCTCATTTGGTATCAAAAATATGTGGTTTTAACCAAGAAAATTTGTGTAGACCAAAACACACATAAGTGCCCTTAGAAAACTAACTATAACCACTTAACAGTTTACCCAGGGTGTCTCTCCGGCAGCGCATTGGTTTATGATTATCCTGAGCATCACTCAGGCAGGTGTCACTTTAGCTAGTCAATTCTCACAGTGAATAAATTTGATAAAATTGTCATTTTTTATGTTTCCTGTTATATTATTTTATAAAAATTAACAAAACAGACAATTCTTGGTCATCCTGTGTTTAAATAATTGGACTGGTAAATGGTTAAAAATAATTCTCGAATGGATGTATAAATGACAAAATTATAGGACCAGGAGTAACTGTAAAACTTCATTTACTGCAAAGCTGCTGAGGTGTGCAGATGAGAAAACTGACAGCCAGAGAAATTCACCTCTTGCCCCTTGTCTGGCGGCCAGTGGCAGAGTGGAGCAGAACTCCATGATAATGCTCAGTCAGCCAGGTACTGCGGTGTAGAAATGGCCATGCGGTGTTTCAGTGTATCTTTGTCTTGTTCTCCTTTGTGCTGCTATAATGGAATGCCTGAGACCTGGTAGTTTATAAAGAGCATAAACTTATGGAAGCAAGGAGTCCCAGCTAAAGGCATTGGTATTTGGCAAAGGCCTTCATGCTGTGTCGTCACACGACAGAAGGCAGAGAGGCAAGAGAACAAGAGGGAGCTGGACTGGTCCTTTCATAAGGCACCAGTACCACTCATCAGGGTGGAGCCAGAAGGTCTAATCAGTCCTAAGGATCCCATAGTTAGGCTGTCCCGTTGTTAACACTAAGGTTCGGAGAGGACAAATACTTAAACTAGCAGTCTTTAAGTGCGGGAAAGGGCCAGTAAGCTGCGTTCTAAGCCTTTGTAAAGGAAACCTACTCATTTCGTAGTTCAACACCCGCTGTGTTCAAGGCACTTTCTAGTTACCAGATATATACAGAAGGGACACGTAAAAATTCTCTACCATTGTGGGACTATTTTCTGTAATTACTTCTCTGATTTTTCCATTTATTAAGCTGATATTTCCATAGGTTAGAATCGTTTAATCACAGCATATTGTTAGTGAATGTTGATTATGTGACCTAAAATAACCCCTTCAATGCAGTAATTATTCTACCTGTGTAGAAAGCTTGCTGGCCACTGGCATTAACTGGAGAACATTTATTAACTTGTAAACTAATGATAGGTTGGTTGTTGATTTTGCTGGCTTTTCTCTCGTCATCAGTATGATGAATTCTGTTTTCAGGCTTTAATGTCTTAAAATTTTTAAACTGTATACTGGCTTAATAATGTAGTATGATTATATTTGCCATGATGAACAGGTTTTTTACATGAAAAATGAGATTTTATGTACCTATTCGATCTTCTCAGATGAAAAGAAAAACTCTAAATTGAAGAAATTGTTTCCTTAAATGTCAGTTTTGAGTTAAAGGAACTGTTTAAGCTCCTCATATTGTAATTTCTAAATAATCCTTTCCTTTAATATGACATAAAATTTCTATTATACTTTAGTTATAAAATAAATTACTGATTTCTGGTTTTGTTTTCTGTTAATCCTAGAGATAGTTTTTTATTGTATACAGTTAGGGGGCGCAGCATGTCTTGATAAACTTGATGAAATGATTAATACAATTGAGCAAATTAGATGCCCAGCACCTTAGCTCTTTGTGTCACATGGTAGAACACCTCAAAGCTGCTCTCTTAGGAAATTGCCAACCCATTATCACGTGATCCTCGCACCCTGCATTCTTACTGATAAAAATTGTTTCAAGTTGCAGAAAAACTACAACATAAAAAGTTGTATCCATTGTATACTTACACTAAATTCTCAGGGCTATTATTTGCTATCATTATTTGCATTAATTAACATTTTATGATTTTCAAATAGATGATTATAACAAAAATTAAGAGAAATAAGGTTGTTCCTTAAGAATTTTAACATGATTTACCTACTTAGTATAAAGGAGAATTTGTTTAACAAACATTTAGAATTATACTGCAAATATTGATAATGTTGATAAAGTTTCATAAAAACTTTTTTGCTTGTATCTTTTCTGTAATTGAAATTTCATTCTTTAGTTTCAATTGTATATTGTATAATTGTGTACAATTCAATTTATATGTATATATACTTAATGAAAGTTAAATGTTTGCCTCTCTGGCAGTTCTTTTCTTGCTACTTTCCACCCTTAACTTTTTTCCCCAAGGCTCCCTGAAACCAATACTAATTTTACTTCTTTCACTTGGTTAGTGTATGCCCTGAAACGATACCTACCCTATTTATGGACAACAGCTTATTTTATCAAAATAGAATATGGTACATTCAAATTGAATTTGTTACCTTATCGTTAATTTGAGTTATGTATTTCATAGTGTTTGTAAATTTACACAAATGAAATAAGACAATATCAGGACATTTACTATAAAGATTCAAGTATTCCTTAGGACAGCCAAGTGTGGTGATGTATATATTCCTCTGGTAGGACTGTAACTAAATGGAAAATGTGTCAGGGAATAATGCCCTTTTCCCCCGCGCCCTTTTATTCTTTCTTCTTCTCTCTCCGACCCCACCCTTCCCACCTCCCTCTTCACTGTCTGGTCTGCCATCTGTCTGTCCAGTGTATGTTCTGTGGTTTGACTGTTTTGCCTCTCTGTGTTCCTAGCATAAATCTTAAGGTTTCGGTTGAAGCAGGCATTAGAAATGGAGAGAAATTCCAGAATCCAGTTTCTTCTAGAAGAATGTAATCATCCCACTTAGGCCAGGCAGTAGTCCTTGGTCCAATAAACTCTGAGCCAGAGAAGCAGAGATCTGTTTCCAAGGACATTGGGAGGGAAGCAGGGGTAAGTAGGGTGAGCAGGAAGAGCAGTTCTGGGGCCTGTTACAGTGTCTCATAAGATGTCTGCTATTTTTAGTGCCTTTATAAAGCTATTTCCCAAAACGTTGTCTCAGAAATAAGAAAAGAGATAAAGTCTATATTTTTAAATTCCTAGAGGTTAGACCTTTATGCCACAAATCTAAACGTAGGTAAATTTCATGTCAGCTTACCCTAATGGGTTCCATTGCCTTAATTCTCACAAGACAGTGGAGCTACTTCCACAAACATAAAAAGCTATAGGTGGAAATAAACTTAGAATATACTATTTGCATGTTGTGCCAGGAAATCAAGAAAGATTGCTTATAGTTCACTGCTGTTCCTTTGTAGCCTGATTGCAGAAGCCTAATTGGTTTTCTTGGAGATAATACAATCCTATTCATTGAATCAAAGTTAGAAGAAACAGAAAAACTGCTAGAGCCTTGAACACATTGTATAATGATTTCTAAATCTGAGTTCTGTTACCCTAACTCTCCACTTGTAATAATATTATGATTCCAGAATATTAAGATTTTCAACTAAATATGTAAGTATTTCTTGGAAAAGTTAGATGCGACTAAAGGCAGAATCTAGTGATCTATATGTGCGTCAGAGACAGTAATGTTTCTTTATTCACTTATATTACACGTATTCTTTATTCACTTATATTACACGTATTTCCCCTATGTATTTTAACATTTACAAGGAACCATAGAATAAAAGCTCAAAATATAAATAAAATGCATTTGATCAGATAAGGCTTAAGGTAGAGAGAAAATTTAGTAAGAAGCTCTTAGTACTTACTGTCTTGTTCAATAGCAAAAATGAGAAAGCACAGCACATTGATTGATAATGCAGT